AGAAAAAACTGGGATTGGAGTATTTGCATGGGCCTATTCAAAACCAAATACTCAGAGAGCTTGATGGGCGAATCCCCAAGTATCTTTTAGGCTAAAGTCTTTGCCATTGGAAAATGTGTCTAGCTCAACATTGAGAAGAACCACAGAATACAAGAGATCATCATCATTTCTGATAGCCAAGCAGTTATCAAAGCGCTGAGCTAGCATGTAATCAGCTCTGATTATGGGACTGCCTATAAACTGAACGAGCTAGGTGGAGTTCATTCGGGTTCGAACAATTATACTATTCTAGAACTGTTAGTAGAATCGGTCGCGTTAGGGTTTTGTGGAACTGTTCTAGGACTGACTCTTTATGAGTTTTGGGTTCTTTCAGAATCGTCCTGGGACGGTCCTAGAACTATCCGAAACCAGTATACCTGCTCTCGAGCGTGAACCATCCTGGGATGATTTTCGGCGCATGTCTGTTATAACGTAACGTCATAATGTTATGTTTTTGTTTATTCTACTGTTTATTGCTCCTGTCAATATTTTCTCAATATTATGGAGTTACATAAAAATTTAGTTTATAGTAGTAGTTCTTCAACGTCAGGAATCAGCAGTGAAGGAGTTCCTTGCTGAATTTGCTGAAAATATTGTACCCAATCCGATAATTCTCGAACTTTCGTTAGATGAACCGAAACAATCAAGGATTATGTTGAGGAGACTTTGCCAATTCAATAAACATTTCAGGTAGTTGTCAAAATTCTAGCTACAAATGCTATTATGATGGAATATATTCACCATTTCTCCACAGAGGGTTTCCAAAGATATTGTGAATGAACTCAAAGGAGACTGACTTTGAAGCTCCAGAAGTTCATTCCAATAAAAATACAGGTTTCAAACTATTGTTTTTTTCGCAAATTCTTGATAGAGGCTATATTCTCAGAGGTTCTCTGCTGCCGCGTTCGAATTTTCATAATTTTTCAACCGTTCTGGAGCAGTCCTAGGATTCCAAACGACTGCGCACTAATTCTGCGCAGTTCGAGAACGATTCTTGAACAGTTCTGAAATCGGATCCCGAATGGACCTAAAGTCACACTTCTCTGGGTTCCGGGGCATACCGGACTGGAGGGGAATAAAATAGCAAATAGACTCGAAAAGAAAGATGCAATGGAACCGAACCATTCTGTGGGATCAGTGAAACAACAATAGTTGGGAAATTGAATGAAGTAATGTATCTTAAGAGAGCCAAATACTGGCATGAAGGATCTATATATACAGGGTATGAGACAAGCGAAGACACTCCTGGGAACCCATCATAACCAGAAAAGATCTACCGAATGCATCAACCCATAGATTAAAGTGAAAATAAAATTCAAATACTAACTATAGAGTTCTATCAGGAAACAGTCGATTGTAAGAGATATACAGGCCGTATATAAATAACACCGAAAAAAATCAAGGGGTGATTCCTAGTGATATTTTAGGAAATAAAGTTCATATAAACATGTGTCCTAACTTGCTTCGTTTTCTAGATACAGGGTAATAATATTTCCATGAAAAATCTTTTTTCTATTCATTTCTCAATTGTCTTTTCATCAAGTTCAATAAACCTTTTGGTTTTGTTAATAGTGATATGGGGCTTCTTCTAGTGCAATTAGATTCGAAATAATATTTGCAATGACGTCACAGTGGGTAAATTCCTAAATTCATCTATATTCATGGTGAATGTCATTGTACACCACCGGTTTTTCTGAATTTCATATTTTTATTATATTGAACTATTGAAATAACGAATTTTTTATCCTCTGTGTGATTTTTGTATATAGCTTAGTTTTTGAGGAAACAATAAAAATTCGATTTGACTCCAAATTTTAATGTAGGTGTTTTCAAGACTTCCATTGAGATTACTCAATAGCCTCAAATAGAATCATTTTGAAATCTTGGGGCTTTCTCAGTCTCCATCCATACTGAATTTTGGCACCATGGAAGCTCATACAGGGAGGTTAAAAACAATTAATATTTCCAACTTGTCTCTCTCTGTATCTCAAAAACGGAGCAAGTTAGGACACATGTGTACATGAACTTTATTTACTAGAATGTCACAAGGAAACATCCCTTGAATTTTTTCGATGTTATTTAGATACCCTCTTTAAAAAATTCCATATCCTAAGCTTTCTGAGGAAAATAGAAATAGAATAATACCTATAAATATTGAGAGTAACCATGAAGCTGAAGCCAATTTATTTTATCTTCCATGGGAAGTAATGTTTTAGGGTTGATTAGCAAAACTGCTTCGAGAAAACAGATAGTGTAATATATTTTTCCCCCCTGGAAAAAATTGAAAAATTTGCAATAATTATTTCCATAGGTTCTATAACCAATGAAACAAACATTCTAAACCTGAAAAGAAATTGAAAATAGGCTGACATTGCAGAAGTCATTGATACTTCCGCGGTGCCTCTGAACTCGTCGAAAGCAAATACTCGAATTCGGCCTATAATCAATAACCAACGATTAACAAAAATTCAGGGAAAAATTCAAAATTTGATAAATATCAAAATTTTCGTTTCTTCTTTGAAATGTTCTTTTGTCTTCCATTAAACACTTCATTTATCGTTTCGTTTCTGGAACACCTTGTATAGGTGCTAATTTACTGTGGATTAGGCAAAGATACGCCATTTCAGAGCCGTCGTATATAACATACATAGTCTTATCATCGAATTTTCCCCATGTCCTAATTGTCAGTTTATTTCGTACTCGTTAGATTAGAACGATTAGATTGGCTAATTGGCAATTTGTCTGGGTCATCGACAAGTCGACTTTCTTTTTGCGAAATTCGCCGATTTTTTTTTCTCTCCTACTAATTGCCGTTAATTGAAGGAAGACACTTGACGGCAGAATTTTTGCGACTGATGTGTAGGTAAAAGCCGACTGACTCTAGTTGATGCAGCCATAACTGTTTTCACTGATTGGAATCACTGTCCGTCTACGTGTTGATTTTACGAGGGTATATCAGAAAATATCGATAACAGGATTGTCTGTAAAATAGATTACCCAAAATTTCAGGTTATGCATGGTGTCTCTATTAGTTCCCTATACATATTTTTCATGAATCAGGAAATAGTACATTGTTTTATTAGGATCAATAATGTGACACTTTGTTTGACAAGCGATATTTGCGTTTCCGCGTTTCCGAGGCGTATAGCGACCGCGAAGCCGAACAGGCCAATTTCGCGAGTCAAACGTAGTCACTTTTGATCCGAATGAAACATGCTATTTTTTCTGCAATCGAAAAAATTTATATCTAATTAATTAAATATTAGTGAACATTCCACTATTTTTAATCACTTGAACATGTCTGTGTCAATGATAACTTCACATTTTAAAATCACTCAATACCGTACCGAATGTACAGGGACGTTGAGCAAATATCTGGGGTACGACAGAGCCTCAATTTAAATAATGATACCTGATGTTTACTTCATTTTCAATTTTATTTAAAACTTTAAACATGTTCTATCAACTATTTTGCTTTTTTCATCTCCACGTGAGTACCAATTTGTTTTACTTGATATACCTTTTTTTTATCGCTTGGAGCGCACGAAAGGAAATCCCTATAATGTTCAAAGAACATCGTGCCTTCCTAGAGAGGATAGGGACAGGAGGTAGGTATTGGAATTTTTTTTGAACTTCTAGAGATTATATGTTGCTGGGAATACTTCCTCAGGCAATGAATTCCAGAGCCTAGCCCTTCTATGGATGAAGGAGTTTTGATAAAGTGCTGTTCGACATCTTTCGAGGTTGACAACCAAAGGATGTGCTGACTGGACTTGTCTAGTTCGTCTGACTGGTCTTGCTAGTGAAGGGATGATAGCAGAGATTTCCGAAGAACATTTCCCGTGGAAGTATCGATTGAAAAGTGAAAGGTAGCCGACCTTTCTACGGTGTTCCAATGATGTCAAAGAGTGAGTGAGAGTGGCGTCACCCACCAGGCGAATGGCTCTTCTCTGGATGGAATCTAAGAGCATCAGCGTATGTTTTGGTGCTGAACCCCATATGTGGGAACAGTATTCTAGAACAGGCCGTATCTGCTCTTTGTAGATCATGAGAAGCTGTTGAGGAGTAAAGTAGCATTTTGCACGGAACAAGAATCCGAGTTTTTGTGATGCAGCTTTTGCAATGGATCTGACATGATTATCCCATGAAAGAGTGTTGCTGATGGATATACCGAGCATAGATATGGTGGGCTTGGTGGGGATGGTGGTGCCAGACATTACAATATCGGGCATACTGAGTTCCGCCTTTCTAGAGAAAATACAGGCTTGAGTTTTGGTGGCGTTGAATTCAACTAGGTTGTTGGTTCCCCAGGCTGTGATTTCAGCAAGGTCTTCATTGACAGCATCGACCTGCCTGCGCCGTGAGTTCTTAGTTTCCTGGGAAGAAATGGGAATTCTGGAAGAGAACGCAGTATGGAGGGTACTATCATCTGCAAAGCTGTGGATGGGGCAAGTTGTTACTCCCAACAGATCATTGATATGAAGAAGGAATAATGTTGGTGCCAAAATTGATCCTTGTGGAACGCCGGAATTGATGCCAATGGTATCAGACGATACACCGTCCATAAAGAAAACTCGATAAGAGATAGCTGAGGTGGTAAGCCGTATGATGGTAGTTTGTTGAGGAGTCCTTCGTGCCAAACATGGTCGAATGCTTTCGATATGTCCAACGCGACAGCTAGAGATTCCCCGTGTTTTTCTAATGAAGCTTGCCATAAATGGGTGACGTATGCAAGTAGATCTCCAGTAGATCTTCGGTGGCGAAAGCCTGTTCCGTTGTTCTTTGTAGAATAATTTCTTTCTGGCTGATGATGGATACCTTTTGGGTCCGAAACAAGGCCCCCCTTTCTTGAATTTGAAATTAAACGTTGTGGAGACGACTTGTAGAGTTTTCATTATATTTTTATGTATACATATATTAGGTATACTCACGTCAGCAGGCCCGGATTGTCCGTCGGATACCACGAGTACTGCGGCAGGTAGTTGTGGGGCGGCGGATGGGCGGCGGCGTGCGGATGAGGGGCGGGATGCGGGGGCGGCGCGTGCAGGCCCTGCTGGTGGGGCGGCTTGATGTCGGGCCAGGCGGGGCCGGGGCCGCCGCCCGGGCTGCCCGCCTGCTGGCCGCCCCCGCCGCCCGAGGACATGTCCGAGCCGGGGGTGGAGCTGGGGGCGGGCGAGGGGTGTTGCAGGTAGCCGCCGGTGGCAGGGCTGCCGCTGGAGGAGCCGCCGCCTGGAACAAGGAGAGAAACGGGGTTATCGAGGGGAATTTGGTCACTGATATATCTCATATTATACAGGGTTTCCGGAAATTATGCGCAAAAAATCAAGGGGGTGATTCTGCATGAGATTCATTCCATATATACTTGGGTCCGGAAATTTATAGTTTTCAAGATACAGTGTGTTGAACTTTTTAGAAAAAATCGGTTTTTTATGAATATCTTGAATATCCTTCCACCGATTCTCTTGAAATTTGGTAACGAGTCAAAACGGTTTCCATGTCCCTAACTTCTCATGTACTATCAATAATTGATGTTTGATTGAAATAGATACAGGGTGGTCAAAAATCTCATTTCTGTCGTTTCTTAAACCTTGACCCCTTCAACAAACAAAAGTAGGCCTTGAAAATCTGAATATTTCAGATCTGTTCACTTTTTCGAATAGAACGCCTTGAGTACAATATTATGGAATTTTTGTTTTTGAAAATCGGTGGACGGATTCCAGATTAGGAAAGTGTTGCGGGTTGAAATCGCACACACTGTATATAAAAAATACAAAACATATATTCATCTGGAGTTTTACCGAATATTATTTTATGCAGGGTTGGCATGAATTAATTCATATGAATTAAATCAGTGATTTAATTCGTGAATTAATTCCATTAACTTTTTTCGAAAAAGTCATGAATTCATTCAAATGTTTAAAATTGAGACAACTTGCACTATTACCTTCGATTTTAACTAGTTCAAACTGAAAAATTCGATCGTATTTTGGCAAGACTTTTCTATTTCAAGCATGACAGAGATGTTTACTAACAGATATATATATACAGTATCAAGACTATCAAGTATCATCCATAAAGTCCATAACATATGAGAATATCACAGCATCGAATTTTCTTCTCTCGGCGATCCATTATGCGTATCCGATAACTTGAAAATCGATTTTGACACATGTCACGTGATCACTGGTATGGTGATGAATAAAAGTAATACTATAAAGCGACGAAAAGTGGGGATAGATAACAAAATATCCATAAATATTTCTTATCAAGTTGCTATTCCACATTCAGTTTCGAGCAATTTTTTGAGGAGAATTGGAAATAGCTATATTTTTTCGAATATTCTTCAATTTTGTTACAATCCTCTTTTTTTTCTGACAGTAGTGATGTTTATGATGTACAAGTTGACTAGAATTCAATTTCATGCTCGCATATGGAATTTCCATCCATTATTTGAGAAAACTTTAAATAGCTATTTAAATTTTTTTTAAATAACTTCATCTTCCCATCTAACCCCACTTTTTGCCATCGTAATTTTTTGTATTCACCGCCATACCAGTGATCAAGTGACATGATGTGTCAAAATCGACTTTTAAGTAGTCAGACATGCATAATCCCGAGAAAAAATGTTTTGATATTCTACTAATAAACTTTTTCTCCATGTGTTACGAACTTCATGGATGATACTGGATCTATATGTATCTATTATTTTGTATTCTATCATCACTTTTAATTTTGTTTTGAAAAAATGACATGTTATATTATGATGTTATTCTACAAGATTTCTCAAGGGAATAAAAACATAGTTTTTTTGTTTCTTTTTTTCTATTTCGCTTTGGGTAAATGAAATTTGTTTGTTTTTTTTTTCAAATGAATTAATTCAAAAAAGTCTGACTTAATTCGAAAAGTCGGACTTTGATGACTTTTTTATAAAAGTCATGACTTATTCCAACCCTGATTTTATGGAATATGGTTTGCGATAATAAAAAGCATAAAAAACTGCAAGCTTATGGATGTTACTAGAAATGTCGTAAACTGTATAGGTGTTATGGGTAAATAAACGGTTAAGTGCAATGCTGCGATATCATCAAGAGCTCGCACTAATGAAGTGATAATGAAAGTTGAAAAATGTAGATAAATGGAATCCACGTGCGGACGAATAAAGGAATTCCTTATTCCTTGAGCAATTTTTCGAACGGTCGATTTATCGAAGATTAGACAACCCCGCTTGTGATCGAGTGTGTCTAATTGGTTCAAAATATCACGGCAACTATATTCATTCGATTCAAGAAAAATATCACACCATTGTTATTAGATGATAATTATTATGTTCAACTTGAAAATTATATCATTGTTACCACGATTTCCTTGTTTCTGAAAATTACAGCATCAGGTGTCGTGCCAGTGATCAGAATTCTGAATCTTGAACCACCCTGTATAAACATGCTAAAGTTGAACAATCTCTATATGTAATCATTCCCGCTAGACCATATAAGAGTAATGTATTGATGAAATCTAAAAATGCAATAATACATACAGGGTGTTCTATTTAAAAAACGAAGTGAAACGGGTTTTCGGCAAATAACTCTTGAAACGATGAGAATTTCGATAGGGTTGTAATCAGAAAAAAGTGTTTTTTCACTTACGTATCGAATGACAAAAAAATTTACAGGGGCTCTAAGTTGAAATACGAAGAATAGAGTGCTTTGAAATCTCTAAAGGTTTGCCACTGAATTTTGTACACCCTGTGATGATTCGTGTCAATCAAACTCGATTCGGGACCCTCGTATGCCCTATTCAATATGTATCTCTTATGATTTTATTGACGAGGCATACTATCTTTCTTGTTATTAATGTTATTAACCAGTGAATATCACTGAATCCTATTCCAATCAAATTCCAGGAGTATGAATAGGTATAACCACAAAAAGCACTCAAATGTGCAACAAAATATATGACATGCCATTTGAAAAAATCATTATGACGATACACTTTTTGGGACACCCTGTATAATCAGAGACAGTTGAAGTCTGCAAGACGTGAAAATCCTGAATCAACTAATAATTGGTAATATCGACCATTTTGATAATATCGATAATATCTATAAAACGATAATATACAGGGTGGAGACTTCAACTGGAATAATTTCACTACTGGGGAAGTGAATGAATTTCCTGAAAATTCGCGAAACACGTCAACGTTTAAATGTTTTTACCTATATATGGGGAATATAACCCTTCAGGGGCAGCAGGAATCTATACCCCAACTTGTTTTTTTCAAATGCAACCCTATGGCTTGCGAACCCTCATTGGAAAGCTGGTTGAAAGAGGAATCCAGCATACTGATCATATTTATATTATATATAATTTCGAAGTTTAATATATTTCCAACGTATTTTCATAAAAATTTCGACTTTCAGTGACAGTGATATAGAGCATTTCCACCACTTTGCAATAACACTTCGTTTCAAACTGTGAATACAGCAAAAAAAACTGAATCTATTTCTGCGGCTCTATAAAAACACTGGAATACAATAGTAAATAGCAGTTGCAGCAAAAAAATGCCATCAATTGTTTGATACACATTTCGAGCGATTGGTGCGTTGAAATAAAAAATTAACTTACATTTCAATTTTATGCAACCTTTGAATGTATGAAAAATTAAAATTTCACTAGTATATACTGAATTCCTCTTTCCGCCAGCTTTCCAATGAAGGGTCACAATAGGGTTACATTTGAAAAAATCATCTTGAGGGTGGTTTGTGCTACCCCTGAAATCGTTGACGTATGTTGTGAATTTCCAGAAAAAATAATCACCTCCCCGCTAACGAATTTATTCCAGTTGAAGTCTCCACACATCGATGATCGATAATCCAAAATCACTATCGCCCACCCCTATACCAGACGGGCACATCAGCAATCAAAAATACGAGGAAAAAAATTTTGTTTTCGTTGGGCAGCTCAGAGAGCTGTCGTATCTATACCTATAACAAATGGATAATAAAATTGGACTTTTACCTTCCATCTTGATCCTACCTTGCATCATGTTCTGCCCCTGGGCGCCGGGACTGGAGGGCGGCATGTTGGCATTCGGGCCGAGCAGGCCGCCGTGGCCGCCGCCCGTGCCGTTGTTGTTCGTGCCGCCCCCCGGCACTTGGGCGGCCTTCATCATCTTCTTGTATTTGCTGCGCCGGTTCTGGAACCAGATTTTCACCTGAAACAAGGGGAAAAAGAACGTCAATTGATGGTAATAGGCGAGTTTGATTATTTATTTTGACAAAATTAAACACAAACATCACATTTTGTTGGTGTAATGTTCTCAGCAACTCCACTTAGAGCCGTATACAGTATGTCCCAGCTGAAACTTGTCACCCCCCGTATCTCCGAAGTTGTTAGAGTAGAACAGGTCGATTTAAATTTGGCGGGGACATTTTTCTGCAATTGTCGAATTCTAAAGTTAGAACCTTGAAGAGGACGGACATCAACTTGCGATTTTCAAATGGAACACCCTGTGTTCAATTGCATCATTAGATTCTCCCTGAACAGCTGATTTTATCTTGGGGTCTTGTGGGAATGATTTCAGAAAAATAGGGTATTCAAAATCGAGAAGCTTCAATTTTAGGATTTTTTTGTGTCGAAACTATTCATTATCGCACTAGTTCGAAATGAGATATTTCGCACTAGTGCCAAATACCTATCATGTGGTGCTGTTTTATTGTGCGAAATAATACGTATTTCAAAAACTTATTTTTTGCAATTGACGGACAACTTTGTTTGAAATAATTCATTTAGTTTTTAGTGAGCACACCCTGTAAATTTTCTCCACGTGAGGAATTCTCGTTTCGGTCGTTAGGTCCCTGGTTAATTGCAAGATGGCTAATTGTGATATTCGCATTCAAGTGTCACAATCATGTTCATGTTGAACATTGATTAATTATATTTGAGTGGAAACATTAATGCATATTTCACATGAATGTGATGCTCTGTTTTAATATAGGGGTCGGGTCGTGTTTTTTTTTTCACCTAAATCCAATAGGTCAATAGGTGAACTGTCACTAAGTAGGCACTATTATGCAAAAATAATAGTTTGATGCCCAAATGTATATTACTTCTTGATGAAAGTTGGTAATCAGGAATCATTTATATTCTGTATTATACAGGGTGTATCTAAATAACGCCCAAAAAATTCAACGGGTGATTCCTTGTGTCCTAACTTACTCCGTTTTTGAGATAGAGGATGTTGAAGTTGGATGTATTAATAAATTTTATTCGAAACCCCCCTGTATAAGCTTTCATGGTGCCAAAATTCAGTATGGTTGGATACTGACAAAGCCCCAAAATTTCAAAATAATTGTAATTGAGGTTATTGAGTAATCTCAATGGAAGACTTGTAAACACCTATATACATTATATTTGGAGTCAAATCGAATTTTTATTGATTCCTCAAAAACTGAGCTAGATACAAAAATCACACAATGAAAAAAAGTTGTTATTTGAATAGTTCAATCTAATGAAAATATGAAACTCAGAAAAAGCGGTGGTGTACAATGACATTCACCATAAATATCGATAAATTTACCCACTGTGACGCCACTGGAAATAGCATTTGGAATCTGTTTGCACCTGAAGAAGCTCCATATTACTATTAACAATAAAACCACAACGTTTTATTGAGATTGATAAAAAGTCAATTGAGTAATGAATAAAAATACGATCTTTCATGGAAATATCAATACCCTGTATCTCGAAAACGAAGCAAGATAAGACACATGTTCATATGAACTTTATTTCCTAAAATATCAGAAGTGATCATCTCTTGAATTTTATCGGTGTTATTTAGATACACCCTGTATAAGGACAATTCAGGTGGTTACAAAATTGTCACTAACTCTATATGCAATATATGAACATACGTACAATCCTCTTCAGAGAACATGTCGCACATGGACGGTGATGTAACTTCTGCAACGAGAGTCCCAAACACTTTCCTCCCGATACATGTTCTCTGAAGATGACTGTACGTACTCGAAACTATTACGTCAGTACTCGGATGTTTCAAGAAATGGAATGTCAGTTTTTGCTTTTCGTCTTGTGAATTCCTTCGATTTGCTTAGTTGCCATTTTAACTCAAGAACAACAAAACCAGTCGTGGAATTCCGCAGGATTCTTTCTCTAGTTTTCTTTTTTTGTGTGTGCATGGAAATAAATCCTGTAGAGTATGATCAATTAAAAATAATAATTATTGAATGCTGATCTACAGAAGCCGACATCAATTTTTAATATATTCAATTACCATCGGTAATTGACAGAATTTTTTTCGGTAAAGACGTACGATTGATATGTGATTCGATCGGGGAAAGTTATTAAAATCACTGTTTCTCAGCTGGAATCAGAATTAGATACGATACGAGGGGTAATCAAAAAGTTCATCCATTATTCAGCTATCCAATAAAATATAAGTGAGAATTTTGCCGAACTGGTAATGTATCAAGTGAAGATAGGATCTAGCTAGATATGACAGGTAAAATAATAACATTGTGTATGAATGTTATTGAAGGTTAGATCATAACTCTTTCAAAATGAGTCGTCTGCATTCTATTAGATTCGTGATGTAACGCAAATATCGTGAGGCTATAACATAACAGATGAAGTGAATGGCCGTCAAATTTTATTAATCTATTTTAAAATATCCCATGTCCTTTTCGAAACATAACCTCATTTCGCTATGTTGAACTGAAATATTAAATATTCATATCGACTTCCTAGCAGAGATAAAATAATGGAGAAATATAGACAAGCATAAAAATTTTTATCGACTTATCGACATATAAGCTTCGTTACCTATACCACAGATTACCTATACCTACCTACCTGTAAGCCGACGGTTTTTTTCATTCGCCTTTTCATAGTGTTGTGTTATTGCTTGACATTGATTAATTCTCATTTCCAAGGCTTTTCATTGTACGGCCATGCACAAAAAAGTTATCAGGTGCTACTCGCATCACACGTACAACGTACACCTAATGTAATTATTGTCATTTTCAATATTATTTCGCAGGTGATGGTCATTTCTAGAAATGGATTATACAATTATGCCTATCTAACAAAAACATGTAGTTGAATGATATACAGGGTGTTTCAGATTTTGTTCGGGAAAATTTGAAAGGCGATAATAGGTACACAAATAAAAAAAAAGTTCATATGAACTTGTATGATTCGGTGTAGGAGTCGCCAAGTTTTTGATCTTGTCTTGATTTCAACACAAAACTAAGACAAGAAGTAATTTTAGTTTTTAAGACAAGAAAGTGTATGTCTTGACTATATAAAATAGAACACGATGAAACATATTCATTTTCGAAACAAACAACACGTTTTAACATAACATATTTCAATTCATTTAACAAATATTTTGCTAGAACGATTCGAAAGCAAATTAAAAATTATGAATGATAAACCTGTTGAAAATTGATCATTTCATATTTACTAAGGTTAATTACTTGGGTATACCTAAGTTTCTGGATTCTAATTGTTGATGAATATTCTGATCAAGAATCAGAGCAAAATGGCTCAGCAGACAGACATACTGTTTATTGAAGAGTCACTGTACACTCATGGTAAAATAAATGACAATATTAATATAATGTATTTTTTCTACGGCTATAATAAAAAATTGGTCTTTTTTCACTGTGTTTTCGATAAATTCATGAGGTACTTTGTGTGTCATCAATTTCATTACCTTATCTGATATCACAATGAATTTATTGCGTTATATTATTTCACGAAATCTCATCTACCAGGGAAAATTAAATATCATGACAGCTCTGTCTATGTCTATAAAGTACATTCCTTCAATTCACTACGGGATGGATTATATTATGACAAATTACAGTTCCGTTGGAATATTATTTTGATCGAATAAATTCTGATACAATACGATTCTGATGAAATACGTTCTGAAGAATTATATGCAGCCGCATAATATAAGGTATAACCTGGGTCAGACTGAAGGCCAATATGTCGAAAAATTGTCAGTTCAGGACTCGATCGAGATCCATATGCTGGTTAAAGAAAAATAAAGCACCTGCGCCCTTATCTGGATGGCGAAGAAAAATGAATAAATAAATAATAGAACAATTTTGCCCGATCGTGAGTGTACGGATGGCCTGAGGCATAACCAATACAATACCGATCCGTCAGGACTCAATTCTGATGAAATACCATTCTGATGAAATACGGTTATGATGAAATACCATTCCTGTTGAGTACATAGAGTACACTGTATGATGTTTTACGTTTCTATAAAGTACATTCCTTCAATTTACTACATGATGGATTACATTATGATGTTTTACATTCCGATGAATTACTGTTCCGTTGAAATACCATTCTGATCGAATATATTCTGATACGTTCTGACGCATTATATACAGTCGCATAATATTAGGTATGATATACCTAACCTGTGTCAAACTGAAGGCTATTATGTCAAAAAATGTCTTCATCTTCACAGCCGCACTTCAGATTAGCACTCGATCGAGATTTATGTGCTGGTGAAAAAAGTAAAGCACCTGCGCCCAGGTGTTATATACCTGATGGCGGAGAATAATAAATAAATAAATTCGAGAACAATTTCGCCCGATCGTGAGTGCATGGACGGCCCGGGGCATAACCAAAGGTTGAAACGGGCAGAGGAAATGTTACAAGGTCTTCGAGATTATCGCGGAGATTGTGCTCTCGCACCGAGCGTTTTGTAATATCTCTTCGGTGCTCTCTGTGTGTGTAATAATTTATCGGAATATACCGAGGGTACCGTCCGGCAGGTTGCACAGGCATTGGCCAAACTACCGAGAAGGAATATTCTCAGATATATTTATGAACACAAAAAAATGCATTTTACTTGATTCGTTGGTATTTTCTCTCCTCGTTTCTATAAAAAGTATTCGTATTATTTAAATATATTTGTAGAGGGCCAAATCAGATGATTTGCCCTAAAATGTCACTGCGTTCAACAAATTTTTCTATCAGGGAGTCTAAAAGAAAAATCCAGTAGCTTGTCAATGACAATTTGTTTAAAAAAATGGTTGAAGGAAAGAAATATAGATATATTGAGAAAATATCGAATTTATACTTATCTTTGGACGTTTCGGGACCGATTCTGCTCCCGTTCTCAACATGTAAATGCAAATTATGTTTCTTTGAAAGTTGTGCTGCGTATAGTTTGACCTACAGACAGTATTTAACAAAAAAATGGATATATACATGGTGATCCACGGTGGATGGCCTATTAGAAGTATCTGGAGAACGAAAACACAGATCATTCTGAAAATTGGGATGCTGTGATAATTGAACATGCTCTATCCGTCTGAAATATTTTCATCGATACAGTGTTGCCACTTCTATCAGAAACAACTAGCGACTTTGTTATTTCAAATGGAGCACCCTGTATTTTATTGTATTTTTAGATTCTTCATGAAGAGCAGATTTCATCAATGCATCACACTTGTGGTCTAGCAGGAATGATTACCGAGATATAGGGTGTTCAAAATCGAGATTTTTAAACTTTAGGATTTTTTTGTGTCGAAACTATTCATCATCGATCAAAACGGCTATCTTAACTTTTGATTCACTATCTACTGGAATTTGATTGGAAAAAATATATGGTGCTTCAAGATTCAGAATTCTGATCACCCTGTATCTGTTCCAATTAAATGTCAGTAGACAGTGAATCGAAAGTAAAGATAGGGACATGTAAGCCGTTTTGATCGATAATGAATAGTTTCGACACAAAAAAATACTAAAATTGAAAAATCTCGATTTTGAACACCCTATATCTCTGTAATCATTTCTGCTAGACCCCAAGTATGAAGGAATAATCTAAAAATGCAATAAAATACAGGGTGCTCCGTTTAAAATAACGAAGTTGCTGGTTGTTTCTGATAGAAGTGGCAACACTGTATCGATGAAAATATTTTAGACGGATAGAAAATGTTCAAGTGAATTATCGTATTATAGACGTATTACGATAACTGTGTTAGATTAATTTGAATAAATTAGGATGTCTAAAATCAGAAATGGATGATGGACAATTGAACCGTGTGAACAAAACTACCTTTAGTTCTATTTAGAGTAAGAAATTGGTTAGTGTCGACTTTTGGCACACCCTGTATAGATGGAGGACTAAGAATATTTCAGGTAGATTGGAAATCATCGATTATAACAGCATATTATATACCAATTTTCAATTCGATGTTCATTCTGTATGTATATGCATTGAACTTTCAATAGTAAACTCCACCAAGGAACCGTATCCAACAAGAAATGATTTGAATGTCTTTTTGCCTTTCAAATTGATTAGTTTTTTAATACCCACCAAACGTTGCATGTGTGCTGCCTGCAGCAATCATCAACTAAAGGAAATCGAAACCATTAAAACCTTGGAAACCAGAGAAATTTTTTTTTACGATTACCATTGACATTTGAGCATTAAATTTGTCATGAAACATTGTCAATGTTCACCAAAAAAACATTAGCATACGATTTTTATTTATGTACTTCGTCGGCAGAATTAGTTCTGTGGTATTCAAATTCTCGGTGTTCCGTGAGTCCTTTTCTTGTATTTCGTATAATTAATGCTGTTTTACACAAATTTATTCAAATTAGACGGCGTGTGAGAATTTTGTTGGGGCTTGATTTGCATACGATTGAGTTTCTTAACTTTCCTCACCTTCTTAGTTGAGATACGACTTCGGAAATGTAGGAATATAACAACAACAACGCGATGAAATACATTTGGTCGAGATTTTTCGAGATTAATTATTTCCCTCTACGTTTATACGAGGGTCACACCAATTTTTGGACATTCTACATACGACATAGTTTCTTTTTTTGGATAAAGTTTAGAAATTGTCTTGTTTCATGATTTTTTTTTCATTTAATCTACATTGTTTCGAAATTCGTTTTTCTGCACTAATGCGCACTCGATATTCCAATCCAGAAAAGAAAACTGTGGTATGGAAACACTTCAAAAAATCATACAGTTCCGTGGGTTTGATCGTTGATTCATGAGTAAATTAGCAGTACCTATGATAATCGTGAAAAAATATTATTTAGAGTTTTTCCTGAAGCAAAAATATTTAATTGCACTCTTTACACTTTATACCTGAGTTGTTTTCATGGAAAGAAAAACTACAAAAAATGCTTGCTGAATGCCCTGAAGACGTTTTTCCTCAATGTTACCGAAACCGTTCACCAATAAATCATAACATCTAGTATACCTACATCGTATAAACTTTTTCATGTTGAATGAGAATTTGTGCTCAGAGTTCCAAAATTTCAATCAGGTGCGTATCATACTGGAGGGATGGCAATCATTCTCAAATGTAACCTCGTATACTGAATCACCCTGTATATTTCATCATTGCCTTGATGCGGTCAAATGCGGTGACCGTGTTCTAACTTTTCATAGAACATAATAAATATTCGCATCCTCCGCATTCACTTCGAATGAGAATCCAACATCGAACAAGCTTGCGCCAACATCAACAAAATGAATATGCACATTTTAATAAATTCATCATTCTCTCTAGAGATGATAAACAACCTATGGATACTATCCGTTACTATAGATGACTGCGAGATGAAACAAGTTATTAGAATAGATATTAATGAGTAATTTCCCTTGTCGAAAATCGTTTGGCATTCAAATGACCTTCAGCTTCAGGGTTTCATAACAGGATTAGTTTATTTACGGGTATGGGTATAGGTAGGAAGAGAATTTTTGAAATTTGGAGGTTATGATAGAATTCCAAATCCATATCTCGAAGTTGACGACGGTAGGATGTGCTGACTGGGCTTGTCGAGTTCGTCTAGGGATGGAATGATAGCAAAGTTTACAG